AGGACAGTCTCTTCGATAAATGGTTTTGGGAAAACAAAACGTCCACATGCAGAAGATTGAGATTGGACCCTCACCTCACACCATATCACAAAAATCAACCCACATGGACTGAAGACGGAAACGTAAGACCAGAAACCATAAAACTACTGAAAGAAAACATACGGGAAAGCCTGTTGACATCAATCTGGGTAATGATTTTTTGGATATGACCCCAAAAACATGGGCAACAAAGGCAAAAATAGACAAGTGGGATTGTCAAACGGAACACCTTCTGCTCGGGCAAGGAATCATCAACAGGGTGAAAAGGCAACTTACAGAACGGGAGAAAATCCTTGCAAACCACCCATCTCATAAGGGATACTTTTCAAATCTGAAAGGACCTCACACAACTCAGTGCATTAACACTGATCATACTATGAATAAACCAAATGAAAATGGGCAGTGGACCTGAACAGGCATTTCTCAAAGAAGACATCCAGAGGGCTGGTATGTGTATGAAATGGTGCTCAGCATCACTCAGCTTCAGGGAAATGCAAATCAAAACCTCAGTGAGACACCAGCTCCCACCTGTTAGAAGAGCTCTTATCCAAACAACAAGGTGTGACAAGCCTTGGCAACAGTGTGGAGAAAATGGACCCTTTGTGCACGACTGCTGGGCATGTAAATTGGGGCAGCCACTGTGGAAGATCAGAATGGAGTTTCCTCAAACAATTACAAAGAAAGCAACCCTGGGATCCATGGGATCCAGCAATCCCACTCCTGAGGCTAGTCCACAGTAAATGAAATCGGGATCTCAAAAGAGACATCTGCACCCCCACGTTCATTGTAACATTAACCACAACAGCCAAGATATGAGAACAACCCAAACGTCTGTCTCCAGATGACTGGATAAAGAAAAGAGGGTATTTATCTGAAAGGAGCACTACTCCACCTTGAAAAAGGAAATCCTGTCATTTGCGACAACCTGGGTGAACCCGGAGGACATTACGGGAAGTGCCATACGCAAGACACAGAAGGGCAAGTACAGGGCGATCTCACTGATGTGTGAAATCCCAAATAGCAAACTCCTAGACACCAGTAGAGTAGTAGTTTCCGGGGCCGGGCAAACGGGGGCATGGGGAGATGTTGCTCAAGGGGTATCAGGTCTCAGTCATGCAGACGAGTAAGTTCTGGAGATCTACTGCACAGTAATCTGACTGGAGCTAACTGGAGCCTACTGTATGCTGCAAATTTGCTTAGAGGGTAGGTCTTCAGTGTTCCTACCACACGCAAACATGCACACACACATACATACACACATACACAAATGCTCCCTGCATGAGGTCCTGGACACATTAATTAGCTTGAATGTGGTGGTCACTCCACAACCATACATATATCAAAACATCAAGTTATGTATCTGAAAGATATCCAATTTTTATTTGTCATTTATACCTCAATAAGGTGGAAACAATATTGTTTCATTTGATTACACCAAGCACTTTGGAAGTCATTTCATTTCTCATTTTAGATCATTGCACACCTATTGAATTGAGTGTTTACATTTTTCTGAACTGGTGCTCATTACCGTCTCCCTTGAGGTAGGACTAGATTCTAGTCACAGGTCACCTGGACTGTGACTGTTCCTATATATGTGTGTATATGTGCTGTGTCTGTCTCTGATATTTTCCAACGCTTCCATGTTTGCCATTTGTCCTTCATGCTACACCTCACCTTCTCCATCCTGGGTTCCTGTTCACATCTGGGTTCCTTTTCATTTCTTTCTTTAAGATTTTATTTATTTATACGAGAGAGAAAGACAGTGGGGCAGGAGCTGAGAGAGAGGGACAGACTCCGGGCGAGGCACAGAGCTTGATGTCAGTCTTGACCCAGAGCTAGATCCCACGACCCTGAGATCATGACCTGAGCCGAAATCGAAATCGTGAGTCAGAACCTTAGGGACAGAGACACACAGGCCCCCCCTGGGTTCCTGTTCTAACTGAACTGTAACACTTGGCATCTGCTCGCTGAGAGTGAAAATAGTCGACTACCTGAAAACGTGCAGTTCTGCAAATGCCTTCTCTCCCATTCTCTCTCCACAGCAAGTTGCAGGGAAACCCTTTCTCATTTCCTTGTGTGAGTGTATGACTCCAGTCCTGGGAGACGCAGCTACATCTGGTGGTTAAGGGATCCAACCCGTAAGCCCTTCTTGTCTCTCCTGAGGATTTCGCCCGACCTTCTCTTGGAGCCCTGACCCCTCTGCAATGAGAGGACCCTGGGGAACCCCTCTGTGTCCACACTGGTGGAAACGTCAGCCCTATGAGCCCTCTGAGGTCCCAGGCACCAGTGGAGACTCAGCTTAGTTCTCTGTTCCCTGCTGCGGTTCCACCTGCATCTGGAAATTTCATTTCCTGTTTACTTGCGTGTGTATGTGGCTGCATATTTCAGACGTACTGTGAGTGCCAGTCCTGGCATTCTGAGCAGACAAGGTCTCCGGTGGGCGCACGAACCAGCCACCTGACTGCAGGGTCTGGCCCCAGGACCCCGTCACCACAACAGGGCCCCCAGCCCATGCTCGTCCCCCCTGGTCTGGAAACTCACAGCTCCCATCCCTCCCGTGACCTCCACACCAAATCCCCACAATCACTCGGGGGGGTGAGTTCAGGACGACATGCCGCAGATGGGAACTGAGGCTCAGAGCAAGGACATTACCTGCCAAGGTCATGCTGGCAGAGGATGAGCCAGGAATAGTTCAATGAAGATCCACTTTCCTTCAAAATCAGAGCTCTAGCCCAAATAAATATCCCCTGATGCTTGCACACAGGACCCCCCAGGGCGGGGAGGACGTCTGTGTCCCAGGAACAAGGGGCACCGAGGAGCCAGGAGGGACGCGCAGCGATATTCCCAAGAAGGGGGGAGGTGGACAATGCCAGAGCAAAATAGAGAAGTTCATGGAGGTTGTGATGGAAAGACAACCTACACTGCAGGGGCCATGAGAAGGGTTGTGTTTCCTTCCCCATTTGCCTGTATTTCTCCTCGGGGCTCATTGCCACCGTGACCTCGACCTGAGCCAAGCAGAAATGGCACACGTGTGTCTCTGCTGAGATGAGCTCCCAGCACAGCAGG